GCCCTAGGCGCAGTGCGTGACGAGTCAGTCTTCACGCGGCAGGCTGACCAGGTCGCCTACGAAGGCGTTCTCGGGTCATATGCTGAGTATGCCGTCGTGCCAGCCCACAAACTCGTGCCGCTCCCGGACGGCGTCAACATCCACACCGCTGCCGCCGTCCTGCTCCAGGGCATGACTGCCCACTACCTGACCCGTGACACGTACAAAGCGTCAGCCGGGCGATACGGCGCTGATTCACGCCGCGGCGGGCGGCGTGGGGCTCCTGCTCATACAATGGTCAAACAGTCCGGCGCCACCGCCATCGGCACGGTCTCCACGGACGCCAAGGCGGCCCTTGCAAGAGAGGCGGGGGCCGATGAGGTCATCCTGTACACCGAGAAAGGATTTCGAAGTCGAAACCAGGCGCATTACGGACGGCCGCGGCGTAGACGTTGTCTACGACTCCGTTGGAAAGTCCACTTTCGACAAGAGCCTGGCCTGCCTGCGCCCACGCGGCACGTTAGCGCTATTCGGACAGGCGAGCGGGGCGGTCGGGCCTCTCGACCTGCAACGATTGAACTCCGGCGGGTCGTTATTCGTGACCCGCCCGTCCCTCGTACACCACACGCTGACGCGCGAGGAATTGCTGGGACGCTCGAAAGACGTGTTCGACATGGTGGGGTCCGGCATGCTGAACGTTGCGAATAGACCGCGAGTATCCACTGTCCGCCGCCACAGAAGCCCACAGCCGCCTCGAGGGCCGTCAGAGTACAGGCAAGCTCCTCCTCATCCCCTGACACCATCTCAAGCCGAGCCTACCCGTTTGTTCGGCGTCCTGCAGGACGTGCGACTGCGGTACCCGCGCAGTCGAAAATGACCTGGCGCGAAAAGTCCCGCGGACCAGCGGGACTAAAGAAAATGGGGGGCGGTTGGAGGCGACGGGCGGATTCGAACCGCCGAATAGAGGTTTTGCAGACCTCCGCCTTAGTCCACTTGGCTACGTCGCCCAAGATTGAAACGCCATGCGCGGCAATTCCAATTGTATCTGCAAGCCAATCCCCGGTGAACATCCGCTTGGGCTGATCTGTATTCGCGCCGGGCCGCCGAGGGATGCCGCAGGCGATCGCGGCAATGAATGAGGCGTTCACCGAGTCAGTTTAACTGGTGCCGAGGGTGGGATTCGAACCCACACGCCCTTTCGAGCACTGCGCCCTCAACGCAGCCTGTCTACCAATTTCAGCACCCCGGCCAGTTTTATAGTTCCAGGCAACTTGCCCGACGACGCAGTTTATCGCCCCACCTAGCAACACGCTCCGAACACCGCGGCCGACCATGTACATGGACCTCAGAGGCCAAACGATCAATGCGACGCCGAGCCTCCGCATCTCAATCCTACCGCGAAACCCGGACCTGCCGTCACGTCGTGTATCTATCTGTCCGGGCCTTCATCACGCCGGAATGTCCGCCCAGCCGGAATTCGCGCTCAGCCCTTAGATCGGCTTCGGGAATATTGAGCCATCCCGCAAAGTTCAATCGGCGAACGCGGCCCCCTTTCGAGAAATTCCGCCATGGCCGAAGGGGGCGGGATACCAGTCTTGGGGTTCAGGCCGCGGAACGTGGAACCGAAAAGGGGGGTGCTGAAACAATCGCCACTGGAACAGAACTGCAATCCATGTGATTGCGCTTGCCATCGCCCCAAACTAAGAGCCGGAGGCCGGCTGGGCCATCAGAGGGCAGCGCCGTCGCGTTCGCCCGTGCGCACCCTGACGACCTCCGACACCGGCGAAACAAAGATCTTGCCGTCGCCTATCGCGCCATCCTCGCCGCTGCGAGCATTGGCGACGATTGCCTCAATCACGGCATCCTTCTGGTCATCGTTCACAACGGCGGAGATAATCGTCTTCGGCACGGATGCACGGCTCACGACCTGCCCACCCCTGCCCGTGAAGACTTCAACACCCTGCTGTTGCCCGCGCCCGGTGACGTTGGTGTAGCTATAGCCTTGGCAACCTGCCTCGACGATAGCTTCCAGCACAACATTGACCCGTTCCGGGCGTACAACTGCCTCTATTTTGATCATTGCGTCGTCCTCAAAAGGGCGGCTACGGGGCGGCTCGAAATGAGATCGCCCCGCGCCTGCCAAGTCTAGTCAGCGCCGTCTGCTACGTAGGCCCGTTCACCGTGCATAGACAAGTCCAGCCCAGTGTCTTCTTCAACGGTTTCGGCACGCAAACCGAGGCCGGGAATCTTGTCCAACGCCAGCAGGATAATTGTGGTCACGATCAGCGACCAGCCAATCGTTGCGACGACCGCTCTGAAGTTGGCCCAGAGCAGATTCGCATCGCCGTCTATCAGCCCAACACCGCCGACCGCAAAGATTGCCGTAGCGATTGCGCCCCAGATGCCGCCCACACCGTGTACAGCGAACACCTCTAGTGCATCGTCGATCTTGAATCTGTGGCGGAGTTGCACTGCGACGTAGCAGAACACCCCTGCGCCCAGGCCAACGGCGAGCGAGCCCATCGGACCGACGCTGCCGGCCGCGGGCGTAATCGCCACCAGGCCTGCAACCGCTCCGCTGGCAACCCCAACGGCGCTCATCCTCCCGGTCTGGACGTAGGAGATGATCCCCCACGTAACGGCGGCTACAGCGGCGGCCATATTCGTCACCAGGAACGCGTTGACAGCTACTCCGTCAGCGGCCAGGCCGGACCCTGCGTTGAATCCAAACCAACCGATCCAGAGGATCGCCGCGCCAAGGACCACAAACGGGACGTTGTGCGGTTCGACTCCGCGCTCCACGTTGCGGCGCTTGCCCACCAGGTAAGCGGCTGCTATCGCCGCGACACCGGCGTTGATGTGGACCACCGTGCCACCGGCAAAGTCGGCAGCCCCGATACCGAGGATCCATCCGTCCCCTGCCCACACCCAGTGGCAAATGGGCACGTACACAAACGTGACCCACAGCACAAGGAATATCAGGTAGGTGCTGAACTTGAACCGCTCAGCGAAAGCGCCGGTAATAAGGGCCGGCGTAATAATGGCGAACATCATCTGGAAGGTGGCGAACAGCATGTCCGGGATGCCGTCTCCCTCGGACGCGCTCACATCCCTGAAACCGATGAAGTCGAAGTTGCCGATCAGGTTGTTAATACCCGTGGCTGCTTCGTCAGCCGCCGTTCCGAACGCGAGGCTGTAGCCCCAAAGGAGCCACACGATGCTGACCACCCCCATCGAAATGAAGCTGTACATGATGGTGCTGATGACATTCTTGCCGCGCACCAATCCGCCGTAGAAAAAAGCGAGCCCCGGCGTCATGAACAACACGAGCGCCGTTGCAACGATCATCCAGGCGACCGATCCTGAGTCGATCATGGGCTATACCCCTCCCTGATTTGTGGAAAATCGGGTTGACGCGTAGTCAACCTTGCCGACACTACGGATCCCATGTTTCGTGAATGTTGCGCGGGTGTGACGGCCCGGTTACACCGGCGCGCCCGGCTTCAAACACGATGGCTGCGCAACCTTGGCGGCGGATTCCCTTGTCGCTAAGGCGATACGCTCTGACTGCGTCCGGGGCTACGCCATCGTGAACCGTGGGAGGGAAGATGGGGCGGTGCTGGGCAACCCGTTAACACCGGCTACCCAGTGCCCGGCCAAATGGGAATTTTGGCAGGGGCGGAGGGGCTCGAACCCCCGACCTTCGGTTTTGGAGACCGACGCTCTAGCCAACTGAGCTACGCCCCTGTGCACATATGCGCCCACCAGTCCAACGCCCGGTATCCGGGACGCACCAGTACGTGCACGCACAGGTATTCGGGAATCGTATCGGTCCCCGCGCCGGTAAAGGCTGCGGGACGGACGCGGCAACCTTATTTCCACGAACCCCGAAGTTTGATGATACCGCGTCGGCGCAGGCAGACTCAATCGGCGAGCCGGTCGGAAGGCCCGTGCCTTGCCAGCATGCACGAGGACGCCGCATTGCGCAGGCAGCCGCCCGTATTCCATCTAGAGAGCGGCGGAGTCCCGCTCGCCCGTGCGAATCCTCACGACCTCCGTAACCGGAGTGATGAAGATCTTGCCGTCGCCGATGGCGCCCTCGCCCTGGCTCCGCGCCGAACTGAGGATCGCGCCTATCACGGCATCTTTCTGGTCATCGCGCACAACGGTGACGATTACCGTCTTCGGCACAGATGCGCGGCTCATCACCTGACCGCCCCGGCCCGTGAAGACCTCAACCCCTTGTTGCTGTCCGCGCCCGGTCACGTTGTAGTAGCTATAGCCGCGGCAGCCAGCCTCGACCATGGCCTCCAGCACCACGTTGACCCGTTCCGGGCGCACCACTGCCTCTATTTTGATCATCGTTTCATTCACCTCCAACAAGCTCGGCGTGCGTCGGAGCGGTTCGCATTCAGAATACCCCGCGCCTGCGGCCCTAGTCAGCGCCATCTGCCACGTAGGCCCGTTCACCGTGGCATCGCCTACGCTTCAAGAGCCGCTGTCTTCTCATCGACCCTGGATGCGGCGGCCTGGCAGTACACCAGGCCGATTTTGTCAGCGCAAGCAGAATGATCGTCGTGACAACCAGCGAGAAACCGATCGTCGCGACGACAGCCCTGAAGTTGGCCCAGAGCAGATTAGCGTCACCGTCCACCAGCCCAATTCCTCCGACCGCAAAGATCGCAGTCGCAATGGCGCCCCAGATGCCCGCCCACGCCGTGGACGGCGAACACCTCGAGGGCGTCGTCTATCTCTTGACCGGTGGCGTGACCTGTCACGACCGCGAGTGTACAGAGCACGCCTGCGCCAAAGCCGATCCCGAAAGCGCCCATAGGCCCGACGTGTGCCGTGCCGCCTTGCGGTGATGGCCACAAGACGATCGCATCCATGTGGCAACGCAGGAGGACCTGCGCTGCATCTTCCCTCCTCCCCTCGTAACGAGGGACAGGAGCCCCCAGGTGACGGCGCCAACAGCGCCGGCCAAGTTGGTGACGACGAACGCGTTGACCGCTACCCCGTCCGCGGCGAGGCTGGAGCCTGCGTTGAATCCGCTCCAGCCGATCCACAGGATCACCGCGCCGAGAATCACCAAAGGAACGTTGTGTGGCTCGACTCCGCGCCCCACGTTGCGGCGCCTGCCGACAAGATGGGCAGCGGCTACGGCTGCCACGCTGGCGTTGATATGGACCACCGTGCCGCCGGCAAAGTCCACCGCGCCTATGCCCTTGATCCATCCGTCTTCTGCCCAAACCCAGTGGCAGATCGGCAGGTAGACCAGAGTCACCCACAGCACAAGGAACAGCAGGTAGGTGCTGACTGACTTGAAATCGCTCGGCAACGCGCCGTGATAGAGGTGCCGTGGCGTGATAGTGTATGGCGAACATCATCTGAAAGGCCGCGAACAGCATGACGGGAATGCCGTCGCCCTCCGAAGAGCTTACGTCTCTGAAGCCGGCATAGTCGAAGTTTCCGATGAAGTTGTTGAACCCAGCCGACGTAACGTGTGGGTGAAATCTCTGCCGTCGGTTCCCGAACGCGCGCGCCAGGCTGTAGTCCTGCTACAGCAACACTCAGAGTGATCATGCACAACCACGGCCCATGTGGATATGAAGCTGTACACTCAGGTGGCTGATGACATTGTGCCGCGCACGGCGAGTCCGCCGTAGAAGAAGCGACAGCCCGGCGCGTTATACACACCAGCACTGTGATGTCCACGTATCATCCAGGCGACGGATCCTGAGTCGATCATCGGCTAACTACCTCTGGTCCCGTGGGACAAAACTGAGCTGAAACTATCGACATTGTGCACTTTTGCCTGCCGCCAATGTCGGCAATCAGTTGAAGATATGAACAGAATTAGAATTGCTCATATAGTTGACGCACCGACCTGACACCGAAGCGGCGAAGACGGGGAACAGGCTCACAGACTACGGAAGGACGATCATGATCATCGACTCGCATTGCCACGCATGGGAACTATGGCCCTACCTGCCGGAAGTCCCCGACCCCGAGTCGCGCGGAATCGTCGAGCAACTGCTGTTCGAGATGGACAAGAACGGCGTGGACATGGCAACCATCGTCTGCGCGCAGATATGGCAAAACCCGTCGAACAACGACTACATCGCGCGCGCGTTCCGCCGATCCGCAAAAATCACTGACCTAGCCTGCCGCATGTTTCGGTCTACTTCCACGAGCGCTCGACTCAAACTGGTCGGAAACCTATCACGTGCCCGGAGCGCAAAACGTCTCTGAAGAGCTGGCGACGCCGCTCCTCTTCGCCCATGGCGGATCACACAGCCTTCCGGTCGCCGCTGCCGATGGACAACGGCGATTGGTTTACGTCTCCCGACGGTGATGACTTCTTCGGCGTCGCCAACGAAATGAAACTGATCGCCTCGATCGCGTGCGGGCCGCAGCACCAGCCGGCGATACGCAGGATCGCCGAAAAGTGGCCGGACATACCCATCCTGTGCCATCACATGTCGGGCCTGCGAGCCACCGACCGGCCGCCAAGCGAGAATTTGCAGAACGTGCTCGCGTCCGCCGAATTGCCCAACGTGCACCTGAAGCTGTCAGGCTTCCACTACGCCACCGAACAGTCGGCGCGCTGGGAATATCCGTACAACGACGCACGGTGGGTCTATGAGGCCGCCTACGAACGGTACGGGTCGCGCATGTGCTGGGGCTCTGACTACCCCGTCGTCAGGACGGACATGATCTACCGGCAGGCGCTCGAAGCCTTCCGCACGCACTGCACGTTCGTATCGGACGAAGACCGCGAACTCATTCTCGGAGGCACGCTCGCGAAGATACTCGACAGGTCGCGCAAGATAGCTTGACGGGCAACTGCCAGCCACGGCCCGGCGCCGGCGGTCAAACGCCGACGGTATGGCCGTGGAATTTTGCGCCTAGGCCGAATGCTCTCTGATGAACCCAAGCACGCGGTTCCAGGCGTCATCGGATGTGTCGGCGAACTCCTCAAAACGGCGGTCGAAAAATGAGTGCGGAGCGCCCGGGTACACGTGGATGTAGTGTTCCATCCCGGCGCGGTCCAGGGCCTGATCGAACTTCTCGACCTCCTCGAGGGGAATACCCTGATCCTCGCCACCCATCAGACCCAGCAACGGGGCGTCGAAAGTATCGATCCGGTCGATAGCGGGCGCTGATCCGTCGCGGCCGAGCCTGGTTGGGTGACCATAAAACCCCACTGCGCCCGATAAGCCGATCCCTGCACCTGCCAGGATCCACGAGTTCGAGCCGCCAAAGCAGAATCCGACCGTAAACAGCGGGCGACCTTCGTTGCCGTCCCCGCTGTGAAGCACGGCGGCGGCGGCGGCGGCGTCAGCGGCAATGTTGGGTACCTTCGTCTGCTCCACGTGGGGCATGAAATCGAAGTCCTCCGGCCTATCGCCTGTGCCTGCGGTCCGACCGAAGTAGTCGATGGTCACGGCGTCAAAGCCTTGCTCGGCAAGCCGGTCCGCCAGCTCTTTATAGAAACCGAAAATCCCGCGAACGTCGGGCAACACAATTACGCCTGGGCCGCCCGACTTGTCCGACACCGCGTGGTACGCGAGGGAACTTCGTGCCGTCTTCAGACGTAAGGATCAGATCTGTCGAACTGATCGCAGAGCCTGATATGGGCCGAATCGGGGGCGTCGAGTCATATGGAAAACACACGTTGGGTACTCCTGAAGTTCACACTGGCCGGGAGGGGATTCGCGCCCCGGCGTGAGTCGGATTCTAGACCCTGGGTCCGTCCGCGTGTTAATCGGCGCTCAATCCGTCTCGCCGGACATTCCCGTCCGACGACGCCGTATTCTGGTGTAGAACCCCAGGGCCAACAGGGCGGCCAGACCACCGATCATTGACCCCTCGAAACCTGCCCCTGCTTGCGGTGGCGCGTTGCATCTGCCTCCCTCGACGGGAGTGAGCTCCGGTGTTGCCTCGGGCGCCGTAGTGGGCGCGGGCGTCGGCGTTTCGGGAATCGACGTTGGCGTTGTAGAAGCCTCTACCGCAAGCTCCGCGCCGCCAGCTATCGGCGTAAGGCTGTAGGGGGTGAGAGTGGGTCGGGCCAAAGGACTCAACGTAGGAGCAGGCCGCGGCGTCGGCTCAACGAACGGATCGGCGTCGATCGATTCCCGCCAGTGGTGGTCGAGATCGCGTATCCCGAAACCGTATGTCTGTATCAATGCCCGGTCAACGTTTTGGCCTTCGGCCATTCCGGCAAGCAGGTCCGCCATTTTTTTCGGTCCCCACTCGCGAATCATGAACTCGACCAGATTCCTGGCCTGGCCGTAGCCGACAATGACCAGGTTCGGGTCACCCGGGAAACTCTGAAGCTGGTGGAGCGGCGTGAGCCGGCCGGTGTCGATCGCCCACTCGAGGTAGCGGTCGTAGGACAACGACTTGTCGAGATTACCGAACTCGGCGAGACCCTCATTTAGCCACACCGGTACCGTTGCGCCGCCCCTCGTCGCCCTGTGAACCAGAACGTGGACCAGTTCATGCGTCGCCGTGCCGATGGCCCGGGTGTCCCCTCCCTGCACGATCACAACATTTTCCGATGAAAACGCCTGTCCCTCGGTAATGAGCTGGTGGGCAGTGGTGAAGCTACGTTGGACTACGGCCTCGAACATCTCGTTCTGGTTGTTGTACATCGTTATCACGATCGGGGTTTCGATTTCCGACCCGGTGATTGGCCCCATGATGCTCAGGGACTCGTAACCCTTGTCTGCCAGGGTTTGGGCTTGCGACTTGACCGGTCCGTGGTAGTAGACGATTATCGGCCCGGTCTGCGCGAATTCCCACTCGAAGCGGGAGTCGAGCACGAGGAGATCCTGCGATTCGCTTTCGAACACCCCACCCGGCCTCGTCATAAATTTCGAAGTTGAAAGTGATAAACGCGCCTGGCGGGATGTACGACTGCGAATTACTGATCCGGTGAACGTATTCCCCGCTGACCAGTTGGCCTGCATCCTTGGGCAGGTCCAGATAGTTGTATTGGGTCGTGGCGCGGGCGCCAATCGTGTAGCGCACCCGTATGTCGTCAATCGGGACGTCGCTTTCGACCTCTGCGAAGAATCGTATGTTCTCCGGGAATTTGGACTCTGCGCCAGACGAGATAATTCGCACGTGCTCGTCGGCCGCGGCAAGACCGGCGCCGCCAAACAAAGCGGCTGCAGCCACTGCGGCAACCAACAACCGGACGAGCGCCAATCTAGTCGGGCAGTATTTCGTTAGCTTCTTCATGGACCCTGGAACCCGCGCCGTGATGACAGGATGATCAACACGGGCGAAATGTAATACGTAAGTTTTTCCAACCCGGACGGGCATACACACTTCATTTCGAGCAGGGAGCGTCATTTAGCCGGGGAATCCGCGGCGCGCCACTCCGCGTAGAAGCGGTGCAACGCCGAAAGTGGCGTGCCGATCGCAAGGATCCAGAGAGACGGTATCGGGTGCATAGCCAGCAAGCCGGCGGTCAATATAACCACGCGCTCCGGCCTCGTCAGAAAACCGGAGGTCCCGCGGTAGCCAAGCCCTTCGGCCCTCGCTCTTACGTAGCTGACCATGAGCGAACCGGCCAGCGCCACAGCCGCAAGGACTATCGCGTGACGATTCAATGCGGCGACGCTGGAATAGTAAATCATGAGGCCGATCAGGATCGAACTCTCCGCCACACGGTCTGCGACGGAATCGAGCAGCGCGCCGCGATCGCTCACCGTGCCCGTGCGCCTGCGATGGCGCCGTCCAAGAGGTCGAATATCGCCGCCGCCAACGCCACCAGGCCGGCGAAAAGGAACCGGCCCTCAATCACCAAATAAGTCGCCGCACCGGTCAGCGCGAGGCCGATAAGCGTTGCGCCAGTTGCATTGACTCCCAGCTTTGAAAGGGCCGTAGCAGCCGGCACTTCAAACCAGCGTTCTACCTGGCCGCGGAGACGGTATCGCAGGTCTTGCAATCTGGGCACCGGAACCCGCCGGACTCAGATCGCGCCGACCGCGGCCGGAGTTTGTTGAATCGCGGCGCGGTAGCAGTCGACAACGGACTCGGCGAGACGGTCCCAACGGTATTGTTGCGCCGAATTCCGGCCGGCAGCCCCGAGCCGATGCCTGAGGGTTCGGTCCAGGATCAAGATGCGCAGGGCGGCGGCAATAGACTCCTCGGACTTGGGTTCTACCAGGAATCCCTGTTCGCCATCCCGCATAACCCCAAGGAAACCCGGGATCGAAGTCGCGACCACCGGCGTGCCTGCGGCCATGGCCTCTACTACGACGTAGCCGAAGCTCTCTTTGCCGGTCGCGGGGCTACAAAAAATATCTGCGGCCTGATAGTAACCGGGTAACTCATCGTCGGAAACCGGACCGGCAAACACCACGTCATCTATAGCACGTTCGCCCATGGTGAGGTATGAAGTGGGGTCAGGCTCGCCCGGTCCAACGATAACCAAACGCAAATCGGGGAATTCCCATTTCAGGGTGCTGTATGCCCCAAGGAGATATCGCAGGCCCTTGCGCTTTTCGCCCATTCTGCCCACGAACAAGATGTTCGTTTTGTCCGGGTCCATCAGGGCAGGCCATGACGACGGTTTGCCGAACCGTTCCACGTCGATGCCATTGGGAATGACCTTGTAGTCGCCGGGGAAGTACCGATTCGCGAAGTCCCGGGCGGGTTCGGACACCGCTATGCGGCCTGCCAACCTGCTGGCCCCCTTGGCAAGCACCGGTTTCCAGATCGTGTAACCGCTGCCGCGGCCCTCGTTGAAAGCGTGAAACGTTCCAACCTTGGGCGCTTTCGCCAGGAAGCAACACATCAACGCAAACATTGGCATCAGCGGCTCGTGCAAATGGACAACGTCGAACGCCTCCTTTTCGAGTGTCGCCTTGAGGCGCGGCCTGTGCCACACGCTGAATGATATGCGGGAGATCGAGCCGGCCGACGGGACCGGCCCGGAGCGGCCGAACGATATCAATTCGACTTCGCCAGTCTCGACCTGCTCAGGATCGGAACATGGCGCCAGGATTTTTACGTTGTGCCCGCGACTAGACAGTTCGTTGCCCAGGGACACGACGTGGCTCACAACCCCGCCCTTGTAGGAGAAGTCGTAGGGGGATACCAGCGCGATCTTCAGACTGAACACTCCCCCGGGGCTTCCGGAGTTCCGGTCCCGCAATTCATATCCTGACTGCGGGACCAAAGATTATTGCCTGAGGGAGTCTACTCTCCCCAGGTTGTGATCATGGCCGTCAACTGGAGACTACACCCCATTCACTGAATGGTCGCCGGAGGCAAACTCCTCGACCATCTTCCGGGCGTCGTCATCGCGATGCTGTACCGGGGGCGATTTCATGAAGTACGCGGATGGGGCTTCAAGGGCGCCGGAAATACCGCGGTCCAGACCGACCTTTGCGCAGCGAATTGCGTCTATCGCCACGCCCGCTGAGTTCGGGCTGTCCTCCACCTCGAGCTTTAGCTCAATGTTGAGCGGCACGTCTCCAAACGAAGTGCCTTCCAGCCTTATGTACGCCCACTTGCGGTCCCCCAGCCACGGAACGTGGTCGCTGGGTCCGATGTGAATTTCGTCGGCGTGAATCTCGTGGTCGAGCTGCGACCGCACCGAGTTCGTCTTGGATATCTTCTTCGAAATGAGACGTTCGCGTTCGAGCATGTTAAGGAAGTCTGTATTGCCGCCAAAGTTAAGTTGGTAAGTGCGATCGAGCCGCACGCCCCGGTCCTCAAAGAGCCTCGCCAGCACGCGGTGGACAATCGTGGCGCCAACCTGCGACTTGATGTCGTCGCCCACCACCGGCAGGCCTTTGTCGGCAAAGCGCTTCTGCCAGTAAGCTTCGCGGGCGATGAACACCGGTATGCAATTTACGAATGCACACCCCGCGGCAAGGATCTGCTCGACGTACCACTTTGTGGCCTGTTCCGATCCAACCGGGAGGTAGTTGATGACTACGTCGACTTCTCTGTCGCGCAGGATGCCAATGATGTCGGCCGTCTGTCCCTCGGGCTTTGTCCGGTCTCTCTCGACATCGACGATGTTTTCGAGGTATTTGCCAATTCCGTCGTGCGTCATGCCTCTGTCGACTGTTACGCCGGTCGCCGGTACGTCGTGAAATCTAAGAGCGTTGTTGGCGGGAGCGAATATAGCTTCGGATACGTCGGCGCCGACCTTTTGGCTGTCGACGTCGAACGCCGCGACCAGGTTGATGTCGCCTACTGAGTACCCACCCAGCACCGGGTGCATAATGCCCGGGACGTCCCCATCCGATTCGATCTCGGAATATTTGTACAGCCCCTGTACCAGGGAAGAAGCACAATTGCCGACGCCAATGACGGCGACGTTTATCTTGCCCAAATTCTCCTCCGCATCCATCCGGCCGGCAGATTCTTCAGGTCTGCAAGGCAAGATGGGATCACACGGATAATCATACTGTCGATGCGGCCTACGGCTTCGACTTTCGCCGACCAGTCCAGTTCACCGCGGCTTCACGCGACGCGACCGCCAAACACTGACGGCCACTACGAACAAGGGCGAATTCTAGCAGAATGGGCAGTCCGTCCCTTGGGTCACAGTTAGAGACCAGGTGCTTCCAAAGAGGGCCTCAGCCGTCACCACCCAACGGCAGCGCCGTCCTTGCGAGGCTCTGATCCTCCGGTGAGCACGCCCGTTTCGGGATCACGGGCTATCACCTGGCCGCCGCCGAAACCAGTCCTGTCGTAGCCGGACTTGACCTCGATGGTATGGCCCCTGCGTCGCAGTTCATTGATCGTCCAGCGCCGGCAGGTCCTCTTCGACGCTAACGTTCCAGGAATCTTCGACGTCCACACGAACCGCAACGCGTCGAGCGCCTGCTGGGAGTTCATCCCGAAGTCGACCATGTTTGAAATTACCTGGAGATGGCCCTGTGGCTGCTGGAATCCACCCATTACTCCAAAGCTGAGCCAGAACTCGCCCTCGCGCGTCGCCATGCGGATGATGGTCTGGTAAGGCCGCTTGCCACCCTGCAGGTAGTTCGGGTGATCCGGATCAAGCGAGAAGAGCGAACCGCGGTTTTGCAATGCAATGCCGGTGTTCGGAACCACAAGGCCGCTTCCGAAGCCCTGGTAGAGCGAGTTTATTAACGAACATGCGTTGCCTTCGCCGTCTACAGCGGTGAGGTACACGGTGTCGGACGACGCAAGCGGATCGCCGTACACCGGCTTTTCCACCACATGGCTGGGACCGATCAAGTCACGGCGGGTACCGGCGTACTCTTTGGACAGCAGCGCGTCGATTGGCACGTCGGTCACACGGGGATCGGCAACGTACCGCAGCGCGTCCGCGAACCCCAGCTTCAACGATTCGATGAGGTAGTGATAGCGGTCGGGGAGATTGGCAGCCCATTTCCGCAATGTCGAACCCTTCGGCCACGTTGAGCGCCATCAGGGCGCCGATGCCCTGCCCGTTCGGAGGACACTCCCACACGGTCACGCCGCGGTAGTCGGTACTTATGGGCTCGTCCCAATCCGAATGGTGTGCGGCGAGATCGTCGGGGACCAGCCAGCCGCCCGACTGCCTTACGTACGTAGCGATTCTTTGGGAGATGTCGCCCTTGTAAAAGGCTTCGCTGCCGCCCTCGGCAATGGTTTGCAGCGTGCGCCCGAGGGTGGGCAGTCTGACCACGTCGCCGTGGACCGGCGCTTCGCCCGTGGGTAGGAGCTCCAGCCCCGACGGTCGTTGTCTGAGCTTGCTTTCCGAACCCAATCCGCCCGGCGTGTCGGTGCCCTTCCATCCGTGGGCGATGACCTCGCTCACTGGGTACCCGTTTATGGCGTAGTCGATAGCGGGCTGAAGTACGTCCTGAAGGGACATTCGGCCGTAAGCCTTGATTGCCGTCTCCCAGCCGTGCACCGTACCGGGCACGCTCACGGACATGCCCGCGTCGCGGCCGGATTTTGGGATGGCGTCGTAACCCATTGAAGTCACGTCTGCCGCGTTGGCGGCGGCGGCAGAACGACCACTGCCATTAAGTGCCACGACGCGTTTTTCGTTGGCCATCCAGATAAGGGCGAACATATCGCCGCCGACACCCGTAGAAGCCGGCTCGACGACGTTGAGCGCGGCAGCCGTCGCCACTGCTGCGTCGACGGCGTTACCACCATCCATCAGGACGCGGAGGCCGGTCACGGCAGCGAGAGGTTGGCTGGTCGCAACCATCCCGTTGCGCGCCAGGACTGCGGGATCGCCGGGACTGAAAGTAGGACATATTGCATCTCCGGGAGGGCTCTGGATGTACTGATCTGACATCGAGCGTGGCTGCCGAGATGTTACATAGACACCAAGCCTCATTGCCAGCCGCAACAGGGGCGAACTTGAGCGTTGTGAGTGTGAGGAGACCGAAGCGACCCGCATGGTGTCTTTGCGCGACCGTTTCGAGCCTGGTAGCGGATCAGGCCTCCGCGCCGGCGCTGCTGCTATCTCGTGCGGGGGTTGAGCACGTCATTCAGGGCGTCGCCCAGGAGGTTCCAGCAAAAGATCATCAGAAATACAACCGCTATGGGCGCGATCAATTGCTCAGAGGTCGCAGACGATACCCGCTGCTGCCTGTGCGACCGATGGTCTCTCCTATCATCCGGCCCAGGCTGGGCCTGCCGACCTGCACGCTGAGGCCGAAGAAACTCAGTACGACTTCAGACAAGGCAATTGCGCCGAGGCCGAACGACATGGTCACGATGAGTGGGCTAACGACATTCGGGAATATGTGGCGCGCAAGCAGTCGAGGCGTGCTGGTCCCGATGGAGTAGGCCGCCTCGACGAACTGCGATTCGCGTAGCGCCAGCACCTGGCCCCGGACCAGCCTCATCGTGCCGAACCAACTCAGCGGTAGCAGGCTATGCCGATGACGATGAAATCCACGACTCCCGTCGACACAAGGCCGCTGAAGAAAGTGGCGTCGTCAAAATCTCGGACCATCTCCACGATTCGCGGCCTTAGCGTGGCCGCGATCAGGATGATGAGCAAAATATCCGGAAACGACGACACCACCTCCCCGAGTCGCATGACCGCGGTATCGATCCTGCCTCGGAAGTAGCCGGCCAACAGGCCAAGGCTGACCCCCAGAATCAGGCTCCGTCAGCGTGGTGACGAACGTGATGATCACGGTGGTCTGTACGCAGATAACCCTGGTGAAAATGTCCCTGCCAAGGCGGTCGGTGCCGAACCAGTTTTCCGCATCCGGTCCATGCTGGGACTGAGCAGTTTTGTCCGCTAGTATGTCCTGCAAGAGCCCCGTAACCAGCGGAGCGAATATACCGAGGCTGTATAACGTCACCAGTAGCATCAGGGCCGCAATGGCCAGTTTTTTTTTGCGCAACCTCCCCCATGCGATCGCGGCGGGACTACGCCCATCGACATCTCCGTGTGACGTTTCCGCGACCATCGGGCTACTGGAGCCTTATCCGGGGGTCGACAACCGTGTAAACGATGTCGATTATGAGATTTGCCATCACCAGCGACGTGGCGCCGAGCAGAGTCACCGCCATGATCACCGGATAGTCACGGGAAAAAACGGACTCGAGCGCGAGCCTCCCGATCCCCGGTATTCCAAACATGAGGTCGGTAATCAACGATCCGCCAAACATCCCTGCGATCGTAAAGCCGAGAATCGTGATGATCGGCAGCAGTGCATTGCGTGCGACGTGGCGGTAGTTGACGACGCCCGCGCTCAGTCCTTTCGAGCGGGCCGTCTGGATGTACTCCTGCCCCAGGACGTCCAGAGTGCTGGCGCGCATCAACGCGCACGAATATGGCGATGCCCGGCAGCCCGGTGGTAAGCGCGGTTAACACCACCCGGTAGTCAAACAAGCCGCCCCAGCCGGACACGGGGACCCAGTCAAGGTTGACGGCGAATATGAGAATGGCGAACGGGCCGGTGAAGAACACCGGAAGCGCGAACATGATCAGCGCGCAAAACACCAGGGTAGGGTCGACCCACGTGCCCTGTCGCCGTGCAGCGTAAAAGCCCAGTGGTACGCCGAACCTATCGCGATGATCGATCCGGCGATGTTCAACTGGGCCGACGTGAGCAGCTTCGGTCCGATGAGCGTGATTACGTCGCGGTTCTGGAACGTGAGACTTTTGCCCAGGTCTCCCTGCACCGCTCGGCCGACGTAACGAGCGTACTGCACGAAGAAATGGTCGTTCAGACCAAGTCTTTCGCGCAGCCGCTCGGCAAGCTCAGGCGTGTAGTTGTGACCCAGGCGCACTTCCACCGGGTCGCCGGGACCGTAGGTCCCCAACAGAAATACGAAGAACGAAACTATCAGCAGCAGGACCGGGGTCCACCATAAGCCGGCGAAGGCCGTAAGTGAGCATGCGGTGACTTTGTGCCCGGCGAGAGCGTGTGTCAAGCCCGGCGCGCCCGGCATTGCCGCCGGGCGCTATGCGTCGGGCCTACTTCTGGATGTAAACGTTCTTGAGGCGGGGAACGATGATCGGCGTGAATGCGTAGTTCTTGACCCACGGCTTGATCAGGGCGAGACCTTCCATGTCAAACCACAGGGGCAGCCAGGCCGCATCTTGCAGAATGATCTCCTCAGCGTCGTGTCACACTCACGCGTCGGATGATGTCCTGCTCCGTCCTCGCCTGCTCGACTCGTCTGTCGACTTCCTGGTTACTGTATTTGCCGTGGTTGCCGGAGCTTTCCGAGTAGAACAGGATGTCGATGAAGTCCTGGGGTCGGGGTAGTCTGCCTCCCAGCCGATGCCGCCCCAGCCTGCAAGCGGCTCCGGTTGAGGTCCTGAAGGTACGTTGCCCACTCCACGCTACCTGCTGCACATCGATTTTGACGCCGAGAACGTCTTCCCACATGGTACCGATGACCTGAACGTCCAGCGGCGCTGAACCGCCGGTTCCGGGGATGGTCACAGTGATTCTCGGCCGCGTTTCCGGATCCGCATACTTCGACTCTGCAAGTAGCTGCTTTGCCTTTTTCAGGGTCATACCCGATGCCTTCGACCTCGTCGGAGTAGCCAGGGAAGCCCGGAGGCAGAATGCCATAGGCGGGCATCACGAGGTCCGAGTAGACCTGTTCAGAGATGAGCTGCTTGTCGACGGCGTAGTTGAGCGCCTGACGGAATTTGGGGTCGTCGAACGGCGGTTCGGTGATGTTGAATCCGACGTAAGAGATACTGAAGTGCGGAGGGACCCGGACCAGGTCCTTGTTCAACTCCTCGGTTGGGTCCTGAACTCTGGTCAGATCGGCCAGGCCCACACCGGTAATGTCAATCTCGTCATTCTCGTACATCGCCATCGAGACTCCGCCCGCGAGATTCAACACGACGTTGTCCAGGTAGGCATGCTTGCCCCAGTAGTTCTCGTTGCGTGCCAGCACCATTCGCTGCCCGATTCGATATTCCTCGAGGAAAAACGGCCCGGTGCCTGCCGCGTTGTCGGTCCACGAATCGCCGCCAGCTTCGACGTTGTCCCCGGTTGAGGATGTACGCAGTCGGATAGGTGAGCTTGGCGAGGAAGTAGGCCTTGGGGGCGTCAATCTCGATTCGAATCGTCCTGTCGTCAACCAACGTCACTCCGGGCGCGGAGACGACATCTCCACGACCCCTCGATGATCTCGTTTACGCCGACAATATCGCCAAGATAGATCTCGGCCACCGGCGATTCGGTGTCGGGATGCGCGGCCCGCTCGATAGACCACTTCACGTCTTCAGCTGTGACCGGTTCGCCGTTTGAGAACTTCAGGTCGGGGCGAAGCTTGAACTCGTAAACCGTTCCGCCGCCGCTGATAGACCACGATTCGGCTAATTCGGGAACGATGTCGAGGTCCTCATTCAATGAGACCAGCCCAGAAAATATCTCGACGACGATGCCGGCGGACGTGGTGTCCGTCACCAGGTGTGGATCCAGAGTCGGCGGGTCCGACCAGTTCCGAGTAAACACGCCGCCTACCGGTATTCCGTCATCCTCAGTGCCGGACGCAGAGTCGGTCTTGGCCGCAGCCTCGGCCGTTGGCGAACTCTGAAGAGACGGTGCTACCTCCACTTGGGCAGCGCGGGTCGGTACAGGTGTAGTGGTCGCAACCATCACCTGCTGGTCGATATTGTCAGAGCCGCCACCTGAGCACGCGGCCAGGATGACGGAACCCGCTGCGATCAGAACCAAAATCAGTAATTTGCGCATGTTCGTTTATCCAGTTTCACTTCGTTGACTATTGCTACGTTTGCCACCCATTTTGAGCCCCGCGGGGACCGAAATTCATCTGTTTCGCGGATACGGCAGCAACTGCCTGTCGGTTTTTATGACTATTGCTCCCTGGCTGCCGGGCCCTTTTACCTGGGCGTTCAGGCTGGCCTTGATCAGATCATCCAGATCCCCATCCAGAACATTCTGGGCGTTCGAAGTCTGGTAGGCGGACCGGTGGTCCTTGACCATCTGATACGGGTGCAGGACGTAGCTCCTTACCTGCCTTCCCCACTCAGGTGATACGTGATCTCCCCGCAGCCGGGCTTGTTCTTCCGCCCGTTTTTGCATCTCCAGGTCCACCAATTTAGCGTGCAGGATACGCATGGCGATATCCTTGTTCTGCCTCAATGACCGCTCGTTTTGCACCGATACAACGAACCCCGAAGGCAGATGGGTCATTCTGACGGCCGAAGAGTTCTTCTGTACATTCTGGCCGCCGTGGCCGCTGGCGCGAAAGGTGTCGATTTTCAGATCGTCAGGGTTAATCGTCAGTTCTTCGTGCGCATCCGGTTCGGGAAGCACCTCGACGAGCGCGAAACTCGTGTGGCGAAGATGGTCCGCGTCGAACGGCGAAAGCCTCACCAGCCTGTGAACGCCCCGCTCCGACCTCAGGTAGCCGTACGCGTGGCTGCCGTCCACCTTGACCGCCGCGCTCTTTATGCCGGCTTCGTCACCCGCGGTCAGATCGAGCACGTCCGCCTTGAATCCGCGGCGTTCGGCCCAACGCAGGTACATGCGAAACAGGATCTCGGCCCAATCCTGCGCGTCGACGCCGCCTGCGCCCTGTTTGATCGAAATAATCGCCGGGCGGGCGTCGTGCTCGCCGTTAAGCTGTAGTTTGAACTCCTCGTCCGCCGTGATGGCCGTGATCTCGTCCAACTCGGCGGTCAATTGATCGCCCATCGAGTCGTCCGACTCATCCATGGCGATCTCGGCCAGTTCGACGAGGTCGGTCCCGAGACGGATCGTCAGGTCATTCCAGGTTCCGAGGTCCGTCTTAGCGACGAAAGCTCGCTCATCACAGGATGAGCAGCGCGAGGGTCGTTCCAGAATCCGGGCGCGGAGGCCTGCTTTTCGAGTTTCGAGATGCGCTTTCGATGTCAGGCAGGTCAAAGCCGCCTCACAATCCCGGCGATTCGCTTGTTGAGTTCGCCGGCGTCTCCAAATAAGTCGCGCATCAGGTCTCGTCTACTCAATTCCGGGCCATATGGATAACATCTCAAAGTCGCAGTGGCCCAACTGCGAATTATAACAACGCCTCCCTGCGTCCCCGAACAAGGGTGAATGGCCATTGCCGTTCGAGAAACGTGAATGAACTACACAGGGTCTTTTCGAATACCCGGGATTCAGGCCCGTAATTTGCATCGGCGGTGCTATCCTGAACCGCACGGGGCGTGGCGCAGCCTGGTAGCGCATCCGGCTGGGGGCCGGAAGGTCCTGGGTTCAAATCCCAGCGCCCCGACCACGCTTTGCAGCGCATCGGCCCACGCGAAGCGGCCGAAATCGGCGCAGGTTGGCCCGGTCTGAGCACGTGCCTGTTGGCGTCCCGGGCTCGACGGGAAATCGTTGACCCCCGGCTGAATGCCTCTTACATTAACGGTCCACCACGGGAGCGGCTGCCATGCCGAGGAAGCTCGATAACGTGAATCACATGATCACCCGTCACCGCGACATCATGGCCCGGCACCCGGCGGACGAATCGTGGTCAGAGGTGTTGATCGACGATGGGCGGAACAACGCCGTGTGGATTTCCGGGCCGCCCGGGACTCCTCCTGACCCACACATCCACCCCGACTTCACGAGTGGTGGATCGCCCTCGACGGCAAGACACGGTGGCAGATCGGCCAGTACGAGCCAATTGTGGCCGAGTGGGGCGACGTGGTCATGGCCCCCGCCGGTTTCAGTCATGACATTCGCCCGTGGGAAGGTCAACAGGCGATCCGCTTTGGTGTGACGCACCCCGACAGCAACCACGACATCAAGGGCATCGCCCCTTGCAGGTACATACCCGTGGACCCCGGTATGACCCCGCCCAACCTGATTCACACCTCCCTCAACGGTCTGCTCCAAAGGCACGGCACAGACCGCGGGTGGAAAGAGGTTGTGGTGCTGGATGAGCGAAACCGTGCGCTGGTCACACATGAAATGCCGGGTACAAAGAACCGCAGGATGTGGCACCCGGAAATGCACAAGTGGTGGGTCGTGTTAGCAGGCGAACTCGAGTGGAGCATCGGCGATGCCGACCCGTTAATTGCGACTCCGGGCGACGTGGTGTTCGTGGCGAGCGAGACCCCGCACGAGATTCGCACAGTCGGAACCGCGCCGTCGATTCGCATCACCATCACTGCGCCGGACATCGTCCACCACTACACTGACGATCCCGACGCTCCGCCGCTCCCGTAGTTCGTCGCGTTCCGCGCGAATTCCAGCGTCCTGGGCGGTATGGCTGTTCGCCAAGGCCTGCGGTAACTGGCGGACAGATATCGTCCCGTGTTGATCTAACCTCGACTTTGAACGGGCTTTTTCAGCACAAGGAATACCGCAGCCGCTCCCAACAGGAGCACGCCGCCAGCGATCAGCACGATCTCATAGGACCCTGACCGGTCGAATATCCATCCTGCCAGGACCGGGGTGACGAGCAGCGCTGAGTTGTACAACGGCGCCAGCATTCCTCTAATCGAGGCAAAACGGCGTCGCCCAAACATGTCCCCCACCAACGCCCAATTGAGCGCGCTGCCCGCCTCCGTACCTGCGAACAGAAGCAAAACGCCAAACACCGGCCAGGTCCCATGCACATAGTTGAGCAGAAAAAGGCTTAACGACGAAGAGACGTACATCATCGCCAGAATCACGTTTCTCGGCGCCTTGTCGCTGAACCAACCCGCAACGAGGATAAGCGGCACCGCGGCGAGGGCCAACAGACCGATCAGGTTCGCCGCCGTCTGCTGGTCCTCCCCTTTCCAGACCAGAATGGCGACGAGGTGGACGAAGATTGCGCCGTGCACCGACATCCTCAGGACGGTACCGGCGGCCAATACCCAAAAGGCTCGTGTCCTTACTGCGTCCCTCACCCCCCAGTCGTCATCCTCCTCCTCTTCCTGAGCGCCCGCGGCAGCTCCGACGCGGGCCTGTGCTCGTTTGGGTGGGTCGCCATCCGGTCTGAGACCATGGTCCTCCGGCGACTTTCTGAACACCAGCGCCAGAGGGGTTATGACGATGATCATCAAGAGCCCAACCCAGAACGCAGCGGTTTCCCATTCGAATTTCAGTATGACGAACGACAAAAGCGGCACCATCCCGGCGCCCCCCAGCCTGAATGCGGCGCTGTTGATGCCCATCACAATGCCCCGCTTCCGCACAAACCACATGTTCAACGACGCAGTAGTCGCCTGCATAAAACTGGTAGAAGCGCCTATAGATATGACCAGCAGGTAGACGAGCACGAACGAAAGATAGGTGGACGTCCGCGAAAGGAGGATGTAGCCGATGCCGACTAGCAACGTGCCGCCAAACATGAGTGGGCGGACGCCAAATCGGTCGATGAGCCATCCCGTTATCGGCCCCATGATGCCGCCTTCGGCCCTCGACAGGGCAAAGGGAAGAGCCGTTGCCGCGTGGGACAGGCCGAGGCTTTGGGCCACGGGCAGAAAAAAGACGCTGAATCCCTGCCAGTGGATGCTGCCGCCCAACCCGTTTGTCACCGACGACGCGGCGACAATCCACCAGCCGTAGAAAGTACCGCTCCGCCGGGAAGCGGGCGCGGCAGCATCGTTCGATACGTTTGGCGGTGTTGGGCGAATTGTGTGCGGTCTTTCGGGCAAGATTTGTCGGTGTCTACCGATTCCGCCTGCTCAGAAAAGATACAAGGACTGTAGAATCCCATCCAACGTCAAGTTGCGCACGATTTGGAGAGAATCAGTTGTCCATCAAAGTCGGTACCGGAGAATACACCTACGAACTGGTCGAGGGCTGGGCCAAGTTGCCCGAAGGCTGGAAATTCACTCAGGTCGCCGCCGTTGCAGTAGATGAGAACGACTTTGTCTACGCCTTCAATCGATCACCTCACCCCGTGATCGTCTTCGACCCGACGGCAATTTTGTCCGGTCCTGGGGTCGAAGGCCATTTCCCCAACGCGCACGGCCTGTGCTTCGCAAATGACGGAACGGTCTGGCTGGCGGACAACGGAGACCACACGGTGAAGCGCTTCACCAAAATGGGCGAGCACATAATGACCCTCGGCACCAAGAACACCGAGGCGCCCGAGGGGGAGCCGTTCAACAAACCGACCGACGTGGCGGTGGCCTCAAACGGCGATCTGTACGTCTCGGACGGCTACGGTAATACCCGCGTCCACGTCTTTTCAGACGGCGGAGATTACAAGTTTTCGTGGGGGCAGACCGAGGGGATGCCGGGCGTGTGGGACGGTGACTTCAATCTGCCGCACAACATATGGATTCACAAAGACGTTGTCTATGTCGCGGACCGGGAAAACCAGCGTATCCAGGTGTTCGGGCTCGATGGCAGTCACGTCGAAAACTGGACCGACTTCATCCAGCCGACCGATATCTACATCGATGGCAACGACATCGCCTACGTTGGCGAACTCCGCAACCGCGTGTCGATCTGCGATTTTGAGCGGCAACGTAATAACGCGCTGGGGCAGATTCCCCACGGATGAGCCGGGCATGTTCTACGCGCCCCACGGCATATGGGTCGATTCCCGCGGCGACCTGTACGTCGGCGAGGTTCTCGAAGGCCAGCGCCTCCAAAAATTCCGTCGCATCCGCTAGTCAAGGCACGCAACGCGCCCCGGCAGTGGACGGGAAGTTACGACCGCCCGCGCAGAAGTTCTGCGACCGTGGCGCAGCCTGACTTGCGAATCGGGGCATTGACTAACGAACAGATCGAAGTAAAAAAGAGGTGGTGGCGCCGGCCGCTCTACATCTCTCTCGCGGCAACGGGCGTCGCAATTGCCGGGCTTATCGTGCTGCCATTCGTTTGGGACGCCACCCGCACCAATTACGTCCCCACTCACTCAGAACGCGAAATCATGGACCTCGTGATCGAACACTACCGCTCGCATGCGCCAATGACTTCAATACCCGTTTTCGATGGCCACGAAGACGTCTTAGAAACGGGTCGGAGCGTCGATCACGGGCGACGCGCCGCCGTTCATCAGGCTCGGCACACTCCTGAGATACGGAGTAGCTATACAGTGGCCAACTGACTTCACTTGCTACGACCGCATGATGCTACTTACCGACGGCAATCCTGAGTTCGAGATCGAGTGGCAACCCATCGTCCACGAGGGCAGAGTCTTGCGCGAGAGTAGCTGGCACATAGGCATCTCCGGCGGCCAACGGCCAATCTGGGAGACGCACCGCTTCGCCGGTCAGACAAGCTGGGAAGGAATGCAAAGAATCCCATTTCGCTCACCCATTTACCTCGACGAAGTCTGGATTCACGACTTCGATGAGCAAGTCTTTGAGGCGAACTGCGTCGGAACCCTCGAACAATCGTCAGAGGTCAGCCCCTAGAACGGGACGGGGTGATGGACGGCACGCTCGCGTTGGCGGGAAGCGGAGAATACCTGCCGACCATGGAACGGGTCGACCGATGGCTGCTCGACCGCGTTCCTGGCGTACCACACGTCGCCCTGTTACCCACTGCTTCCGGACGTTATGGGCCTCGTCGAATCCAGTATTGGCTCGACTTGGGGACCGAGCATTTCACCCGTTTGGGGGTCGAAGTCGATCCGGTAAACGTGTTCGATCGCGAGGACGCCCAGGACGAGCGGCTGGCGGCGCGAGTATCAGCGTCCAACTTCGTCTACTTGTCAGGCGGCAGGCCAGACTACCTGCGGGCATGCCTCGACGGAACCCCGGTATTGCAAGCTATATACAAAGTCCTTAAAACCGGCGGAGTTGTGGCAGGTTGCAGCGCGGGCGCCATGATCTGGGGCGAAAAATTCCCCGGATTTCCGAAACGCGGATGGCCGTGGCACGATGGCTTCAACGAGTTGGAACGGCGCGGCAATACTTCCCCATTACGACGAGATTCCCGCCTGGCTGGCGTGGTTCACGCGCGCTTCCCGGCTGAACAGCCTGGCGACCATCGGCATAGAAATGGACACTGCCCTCGTGTGCCGTCAGGGCCGATACGAGGTCAGGGGCAGCGGGCGCGTGGTAGTGCGAAGTCGCCAAGGCGCGAATTCGTACACAGAGGGCCAGACCGTTACCTGGCGCTAGATTCCTGCCTCTCCGGTCCCAAAACGTAGGGTAAAACGCCAGCGTCGATTAACATCCCATGTCGAACGTAACGCAACGAGGAATACGAGCGGAGTTCTCTTCATGCTGATCGCTGGAATTGGCCGATCCGACATCACGCCCCCCATCGGCATAGCCCACGCCGGATGGGGCGCGTCGACCCACGAATGCGCCGAGGGGATAGACATGCCCCTCTACTGCACAGCCCTTTACATGGCAAGCGGTGATACGCAAGCCCTGATCATCGACCTCGACCTGACCGGCGTCACAGAACCGCTCGACTCCCAAATCCGGCAAGCCGCTTCCGAGGCTTCGGGCGTGCCGGGCGACAACATCCGGATTTCGTCCACGCACACCCACGCAGCCCCGGCGTTCGGAGGGCCGTGGCTCGTCGAGGGAGTCGATCTACTTGAACAGTTCTTCGCCGAACTTCCCGAAAAGACGGCCGCGGCTGCCCTCGCAGCAGCGGAAGCGCCGTTCCTGCAACCGTCGGCGCCGCGACCGGTGAGTGCGGCATCAACATCAATCGCAGGCCCGCAGACACAGGCGGAAGGCTATTCACCGGACGTAACTGGGACGGCTACGTAGACCCTGAAGTCCTGGTGCTTGGATTCGACGACGCCAATGGAAAACCGATCGCGACGGTAGTTCACTACGCCTGTCATCCCACCGTGCTTGGGCCGGAAAACAGGCTGCTCTCCCCCGACTATCCCGGCCACGCCCGGCGCGCGGTGGAGGAAAAATATCGGCGGGTTGTGCCTATTTCTCCAGGGTTCGGCGGGTAACCAGGGACCTGTCCACGGCTTTGTGGGCGACGTAGAGGTGGCCCGCAAACAGGGAAAAATCCTCGGCCTCGCAGCAGCATCCGCCCGTATGCAGGTCGACCCCTTCCCGAGGGAGGAGCACCTCGTCGAAATCGTGCCGTCCGGCGCCGATCTCGGCATGTACGAGGACGTGCCCACAGGGGAGCCGGACAGCACGCTCAGGGTAACCAACCGCTTCATCGATCTCCCCGCAGGAGAGTTCCCGCCGGAGGACGAGGCGCGCCGATTCGCGGAAGAGAAACGAATGGAGCTTGTAGCGGCAAGGGAGGGAGGGGACGATGTCGCCATAAAGGCTGCAGTTATGGCAGCAAAACGCGCCAACTTCACCGTCACCAACGCGCGGACCGCCAAAGGGGGAGTGGTCAACGTGAGAGTACAGGCCATGCGCATAGGCAGCACCGACTCATCGGCCTGCCGCTCGAGCCGTTCGCCGAGTTCGCAGCCGAAATGCGCCAGCTGTCACCCGCCCCGCTTACCGGCTTTGCCGGGTACAGCAACGGACTACTGGGATACATGCCCACCTTCACCTCGTACGAGGAGGGCGGCTATGAAGTTGGCAACACCCCGCTGCGGGCCGGCGCTGGCGAAGAGGCAATGAGGGCCTGCGCCGAAGTAGCGTCAGAGGTCTGGGCAGACTGACGCTACTCCGCCCAATCGGCGAAGTGGCGTTTGAGCCGGGGGTAGAGTTGCCGGAAACGAGAGTAAGCCCGGTCGTAGGACTCGGCCAAATCGGAACGCGGCTCGACGCGGTCGATCAGTCAGCCACGAGTCGCAGGCCTCGGGCACCGACGCAAAAGCGCCCTGCCCCCACTGCGGCGAGAATTGCCGCGCCGTAGGGCGCCCCGCCTGACGGCCCCACCCTCACGACCGGGACGGCAAGCACGTCCGCCTGCATCTGCCGCCACACGTCGCTGCGCGCTCCTCCCGCCTACCGCGACGATCTCAGTGGCGTCCACTCCCAACTTCCGCATTAGTTCGAGAGAGTCGCGCAGCGCAAAGGTGACGCCTTCCATGATGGCTCGCGTGAGATGGCCGCGCCTGTGGGCGGCGTTCAGTCCGGAAAATGCCCCCCTGGCGTTCGAGTCGGCATGCGGCGTTCGTTCGCCGGTCAGGTACGGCAGGAACGTTAGTCCATTTGCGCCAGGGTCAGTCGCGGCCGCCTCAGCGATCAGTTCTTCGTAGTCGGGAAGCGAGCCTCCCGGACCGGCGAGCGTCTGCCTGTACCACCCGAGGGCCGCGCCGGCCGATAGCGCTACGCCCATCAGGTACCAGGTGGAGTCCACCGCGTGATTGAACGAATGTATGCGCATGCCCGGATCGACGCGCGGCCGGTCGATGGGCGCGACCACAGCGCCTGAGGTGCCGATCGAGGTCTGCGTGGATCCGGGCGTGACGACACCCGACCCAACAGCCGCCGCGGCGTTGTCGGCGGCGCCTCCCACGACCGGCGTGCCCCGCTGTAGGCCCAATGCGTTGGCGGCGGCCTCGGTCAGTGTTCCCGTGATTTCGGACGAACCGAACACTGGTGGCAGCATCCCAGGGTCCAACTGCATGCCCGTGATCATCTCCTCGGACCAACGTCCCCGCTTCACGTCAAACAGAAGTGTTCCGGCAGCGTCGGAAGGTTCGGTAGCCAGAACCCCTGTCATCAATAACCGGACGTAGTCCTTGGGCAGGAGGAGTACGCGGGCCTTTTCGAACAGTTCAGGCTCATGTTCCCGGACCCAGAGGAGTTTGGGCGCAGTGAAACCCTCCAGCGCGGGGTTGCCGACCAACCGCCGGAGCCCGGCTTTCCCAACCCGTTCGGTGATGAACCGGCACTGGGCCGTGGTCCGCACGTCGTTCCAAAGTATGGCGGTCGACCACCTGGTCGTCCTCGCCGAGCAACACAGAGCTGTGCATCTGCCCCGAAAGCCGATGGCCCTGACACCCCGCACGCCCGCCGTCTCCATGGACGCCCGTACCGCCTCCACTGTGCCCTTCCACCAATCGAACGGATGCTGTTCCGACCAGCCAGGCGAGGGAACCGAAACTTCAGCGGCGATTCTGCCTCGCCGACTACCGCCCCGTCTTCATTGACCACCAACGCCTTGACGGCGGTGGTCCAACGTCTATTCCCAGGTAGTGATCCGGCATCGTTATTCTCCTGGAGTCGAAACTACGGGAGCGGCACAACGAGGTCAAGGATTCGGCAGACGACGCGTTGACACCCGACACTTGCCGTCCCTATGCTCGGCGGAGTCGCACGGCCAGCACAGATTGCCCGGCTCGGCACGTGCATAACGACCACGAAAGGTGGTAATTCCATGTACGTCGGAACCCAGATCGGCGCGCGCCACGAAACAGACATCCGTCAGTTGGCCCAACTCGGCATAGAGCACGTCGACATAACGCCCAAAGAGCATTGGACCGAGTGGACGGTTGAGTTGCTCACGTCTTTGCGGGAGAGGTACGCGAAGCTCGGCATCAACGTCGAGACGATGCACTCTCCGCTCGGCTCCCGCGACGCGTTCCACAACGACATGTCCCACGTTTTTCTCGGGCCCAGCGACGAGAAGGAGCGAGAACTGGACGGCCTGTGTGAAGTCATCCGCATAGCGTCCGAATCGGGCCTGCGCGGCCTGCTCTACAACATCACGATACTCGGCCACCTGAGAACCGGCCCGCGTTCCGGACGGGGTGGCGCCACGTTGTCATCGTTCAAGTACGAGGACCTCGACCAGTCGCTGCCTGAATTCGAGGGCGGCGCCGCTGATGCCGACACGATGTGGGAGCGCATCGACTACTTCCTGGAGCGCATCGTGCCCGTTGCCACGGAATACAAGGTCCAGATGGCCTGCCACCCGCAGGACCCGGGAATAAAGGACAACGAGTATCGCGGGGTCGCCCGCTGTCATGGGGACAGTCGAGGCGCTGAAGAAATTCGTGGCGATGCACGAGAGCCCGTACCACGGCCTGAACTTCTGCCAGGGCACCGTCTCGGAGATGCTGGAACGGCCCGGCGAGGAGATCTACGACGTCATCCGATACTTCGGCAGCAGGAAGAAGATATTCAACGTCCACTTCCGCAACATCAAGGGCGGCGTCCTGGATTTTGTAGAGGTGTTCCCCGACGAGGGCGACGTGAACATGCTGAAGGCCGTCCGCACCTACAAGGAAGTCGACTACCCGTATATGCTCATGCCCGACCACGTACCGGGCATCGACGGCGACGAAGCCCAGCAGGTGGATTCGCGTATTGCTACGGCTACATCCACGCCATGATTCAGGCCGCAAACGCAGACTGATCCTCCCGTGCACCGGGGATTCAAGGCGCGCGGCTAGGTCGCGTGCACACCAAAGTAGTTGAGAGAGCAGATACAGACAAGGAATCAGGGAGGTATGACGTGACAAATAAACCCGTGGTGCGCAACTGGCGCCAGGTCACACCGTACGTGGGCCACGAATCCGCCATCATCTGGCCGATCTTCCGAGGCGGCGAGGACACCGCTGAGCTATCGCATGAAGAAGCGCCGATGCTGGACATGGTGGGCTTCACAATCCACCGGATGCAGGGCGGCAGATCCGGCGATTACCACGATCACGAAGATCTCGAGCAGGTCTACTACTTCACCTCGGGCCGTGGAAAGATGAAGCTGGACGACGAGATATACGAAGTCCGGGACGGGGACGCCGTCCACATCCCGCCCACGGTCAAACACCAACTGATAAACGACTCAGACGACTGGATCGAACATCTGCTGGTAACAGCCCCAGTCCGCACTTAGTAGTCCACACCGGGAGGGACACCATGGGCAAGCCGCCGATCGTAACCAAAATCGAAACGACCCAATTCAGGTTTGACGTGCCGGACGTGCTCGGTGCACCCCGTGGGAGGTCAACTCACCTACACCCCCGGCGCGAAGGTTGAACGCACGTCCAGGGTGCTCAGGGTGTTCACCGATCAGGGCATCGTGGGCGAGTACGTCGGCGGCAGCGAGTCGGAGCACGCGGCCATCTCGCAGGGTCGCGTCTTGGCTTGTTGGTCGCAACGCGTTGGCCCGTGAAGCTTTCTACAACCGGGCAAAGCACATCCTGAAGCAGACGGCCCGCATGGGGCTTAGCCAGGTCGACGTAGCCCTCTGGGACATCGCCGGAAAGTTCTACGACGCGCCGGTGTACGAACTGCTGGGCGAATACAGAAAAGACCTCCCCTGCTACGCCTCTACCACGATCGGCGACGACTCCCCGGACGGCCTGGGCTCTCCCGAGGCGTATGCCGATTTCGCGCAGCAGTGCCTCGAGATGGGCTACCCGGCGTTCAAGATCCACACATGGCGTGAAGCCCCTCTCAGCCAGCACATCGCCATGATTCGCGCAGTCGGCGAGCGGGTGGGCGGCAAGATGGACCTGATGATCGACCCCGCATGCACGTTCAAGACGTGGGGTGAAGCGCTAAAAGTGGGCAAGGTGTGCGATGAATACGACTTCTCTGGTTCGAGGACCCATACCTCGACGGGGGCGTATCGGCGTTCGGGCACCGCAAGCTACGGCACTACATGAAGACCCCCTTGCTCCAGACGGAGAACATCAGGGGGTTGGAACAGCATGTAGATTTCATCGTGGCCGACGGCACGGACTTTGTTCGATACGACATCGACTATGACGGCGGCGTTACCGGATGCATGAAGCTGGCCCACGCGACGGAAGGGTTCGGACTCGACGCAGAACCGCACGGACCCGGCCCGGCCAGCCGTCACACGATGGCGGCATACGCAATTGCAACTACTACGAGATGGGGCTGGTACACCCCAAGATCCCGACCGCAACGCCTCCCGTGTACCTCGACGGATACGCCGACCAACTTGATTCGATCGACCGAAACGGGTGCGTTCAGGTACCGGAGGGGCCCGGACTCGGCGTGGCCCTCGACTGGGACTTCATTGAGAGCCAAAAAGTGGCGCGGGCGGTGTGGACGTGACCGGCAATACCCGACGCGGCTAGAGGTTAGGCCGTCTGGTGTGCCAACCGGCCAATTGCTCGTAGGCATCACCGGCCCGCAACACCGTCACCTCGTCGAAGTGGCGGCCGGTAATCATAAGGCCGATCGGCAGCCCATCAGACGTGAATCCGCATGGAACGGATAACGACGGCTGACCTGTTGTGTTGAACACACCGGTGAAGTTTGCGAGTTCGGCGCCCTGCGGGGCAACGTTGCTGCCAGGCGGTGTTTCCGCTCCTGCTATGGTCGGCGTCCGCCCCGGCACAGTCGGCGTAAACAAAACGTCGACGCCCTGCATCGCATCGTTCATCTTCGAGACGAACCATCGGCGGGCTCGCTGCGCCTGCACATAGTCGACCGCCGCTATCGTCATCGCAGATTGCAGCCGGCCGCGTATCTCATCCGGGTAGGTGTCCGCATGCTCGCTGATGTTGTCGCGGTGCACCGACACCGCCTCGGGCATGACGAGGCCCATATTTATTTTCCGCCCGTGCGTGACCCACGGCATAGGAATCTCTACGACCTCCGCGCCGTTCGCTTCCATCAAGTCGATGCAGCACGCACTGCGCTGTCTATCTCCGGATCGACGTTTTCTGCGAAAAAGTAGTCTGAAGGCACGCCGATGCGAAGGTCTTCCGGCCCGCGATCCAGACCAAGCGTGTAGTCGACGACCGGCTCATCCGCCGAGGCCGGATCGCGTGGGTCGTACCCGGCAAGCGCGTTCATCATGTACGCGCAGTCCGAAACGCGGCGCGCCATCGGGCCGACGTGGTCGCAACTCCAACTGAGGTCCAGCACACCGGCCCTGGACACTCGCCCGTACGTCGGTTTCAGTCCGGTAATTCCGCACATCGACGCCGGCATTCGAATGCTGCCGCCGGTATCCGTTCCGATCGCCCCGACGAGGCAGCCCGCCGCAATCGCTGCCCCCGATCCGCTGGAAGAACCGCCTGTACACCGTTCCAGGTCCCACGGATTGTGAGGATGGCCGGTGTACGGGTTCAGTCCTGTGGCACCCATGGCGTGCATGACCAGGTTGGTCTTGCCGATGATGATCGCCCCGGCCTGCCGAAACCTGCTCGTTATCGTGGCATCCGTGCGAGCAACGTTCTGCTGAAACAGCGGTGAGCCCCCAGTGGTGGGAGACCCGGCGACGTCCACCAGGTCCTTAAGGCCCACCGGCACACCGTGCAACGGGCCCCGGTACCTCCCTGCCGTTATCTCGGCCTCGGCCTCGCGGGCGGCGCTTCTCGCGCCCTCCTCGAACAATTCGAGGAACGCGTTTAACTTCGGCTCAGTTTCCTGGATGCGCTCGAATGCGGCGTCCGTCACCTCGACCGGCGACAACTCGCCGCCCCTGATCAGGGATGACAGCTCGTCGATCGATGCGAATGTGATTTCGTGTGTCATCTGTGCATCGTTCCGGGGCGCCTAACGTGCCCGGCGCGGCCTGAAAGTACCCGCGGGCTCGAATTCCGATGTTTCGATTTCCCTCAATGACTCTTCCGCCCTGCGCAGCGTGGCGACATTTTCCGCGACGTCGGCGGCGTGTTCCGGGGTTATCTTCAGGCCTGCTTTCGCCGCCGCCTTCACATAATCCTCGGGCGATTCTCCGTTGTGGGTTGACCGCCTGACATTTTCCTGACCTCGCGCGCCTGTCGGCTCCGCCAATCGGACACATTCCCGGCGCGGGCAGAGTATAGCTTGACGGCGGCCGAGTTGTGCTAGCATCGAAACTTCGATGCGAACTGCGGTAGCCCTCTCCGAACTGGTAGCAAACGCCCTCGCGGCGGCCCAGAATTCGGGTTCATTGCCCCCTTCCGGCGACGCCGAGGTCAAGATCGAAATACCTCAGCAAGCCGAGCACGGCGACTTTAGTACAAGTCTGCCGTTGAGACTGGCGCGCGCCACTCGCATGGCCCCTCTCGCAATCGGCGAAGCCATAGTCGCCGCATTGCCGGCCAACGACCTCGTTAGTCGTGCATGGGTCGCTCGACCGGGGTTCATCAACCTGGAACTGTCCAGGGACTTTCTCCGCCGGCAGGTGACCGAAATCAGATCGGCCGGCGAATCTTATGGCGCAAGCGACGCCGGCGTCGGCGCCCATGTTCAGGTCGAGTTCGTCAGCGTCAACCCGACCGGACCTCTCCACGTTGGCCACACGCGCGGCGCCGTTATCGGGAGCGGCCTCGCCAATCTGCTGGAGGTGGCCGGCTACAAGGTGCAGCGGGAGTACTACGTCAACGACGGCGGCAACCAGATGCACGTGTTCAACGAGACGCTCTACGCCCGCTTCATGCAGGCGGCAGGCAGGGACGTGCCGCTGCCCGACCCCGCCTACCCCGGCGAATACCTGGTTGAACTAGCCGCGCAGCTGTACGAAGAGCTCGGCGACGCGCTCTTATCGACGCCTAAAGAATCGGCAATCGCGGAATTGGCGCCTCCGGCCCTGGCTGCCACCCTCGAGCTCATCAGAAAAGACCTCGAGGACCTGGGTGTCCATTACGACCTGTGGTTCAGCGAAAAGTCACTGATCGACGACGGCCAGTTCGATCAGGCCATGTCAGTCATGGACGAGCGGGGCTACCTGGCCAATCGGGACGGAGCGAAGTGGTTCCTCTCGACCAAACTGGGTGAAGACAAGGACAACGTCGTGATTCGCAGCGACGGCGGCGGCCCAACCTACCTCGGCACCGACTTCGCCTACCACTACAACAAGTACCTCGTCAGGGGTTTTGACCGCGTCATCAACGTTGGGGGCTGACCATCACGGCCACGTTGGTCGCATGAAGCGGTCGTCAAGGCGCTGGGCAGGGACCCGGACGACCTGGTCATCGTCATAACCAGATCGTCAGCTTCAAGGACGGCGGCCAGTCAGTCCGCTCAGCAAGCGGAAGGGGGTCATCGTAACCGTCCGGGAACTTCTCAATGAGGTCGGCGCCGACGCGTGCCGCTACATCTTCCTCAGCAGATCACCCGACTCCCAGATGGAGTTCGACCTTGAACTCGCCCGGCGACAGTCGTCCGAAAACCCCGTCTTCTACGTGCAGTATGCTCACGCACGCATTCGGTCTATCCAACGTGAAGCGGAAAGCAGGGGCCTGGACTACTCAGACGGGGACGTCGCCTGCCTGGACCATCCAAGCGAGATGCAACTGGTCAAGAAGCTGATTCGGCTGCCTGACATCATCGACCACGCCGCGGCGCGATTGGAACCTCACCACCTGCCGCACTATGCATACGACGTCGCACGTTCCCTGCAACGGTTCTACGAAGAATGTCGGGTCGTATCGAACGATCCGTCCGAACTCGAGTTGTCGAAGGCCAGGCTTTTGCTCGTGGACGCAGCCCGCTTGGTTCTTGCCCGAACCCTGGGAATCATGGGGATGACGGCGCCAGACCGAATGTGAGCTGCGGCGCCATCCGCGCCCCCGGTGACGAGCGCCCGACCGTCCTCTGGCGTCAGCCTTGCAGACCGGCCTCTTTGTAGCGCCCTATACGGTCAACGTACGACTTCGCCGCGCCGCGCATTAACTCTCGATGGCGGTCCCTGACGCGGCCCAACACCCGGCCCGGCATGCCCCGCACCAGCGACCCGGCGGGAATGACCACGCGCTCCGGCAGTACCGCGCCAGCCGCGACCAGCGACCCCTCACCCACCTCTACTCCGTCGTTCAGCACCGCGCCGTTCCCAATGAGCGCGCCATTCCCAATGTATCTGGAATGGCACACCACGCCGTGACCAATCGTCACATCGTCCCCGATCGACGCGTCCGCATCGGCGTGGATCACCGTGTTGTCCTGCACATTAGACCGCGCGCCGATAACGATCTTGCCGCTGTCAGCACGAATAACGGCCCCGGGCCGACCGACGACTGCGGCCCCAACTCGACATCCCCGATCAAGTAAGCCGCCTCGCTCACAAAAGCCGAATCGTCAATTTGCGGTGTCTTGCCGTCGAGGCTTCTGACTGTCACGCCACCGATCCGTCAGGGAAGCCGGGGGAAGGAAAGGTCGCATTCATACGTGGTCGGGACACTCACCGAAGTGAACTTAAAGGCCTGATCGGCTTTGACGCTTGACTGATCCGGGTCACCCAGGAAAATCTCCAAGTCGGCTTCAACATCATCTGACGTCAGGGCCCGATGATGATGTTGCGGTACGTTCCCGCCCCAGTCGAGATAGACGGCGACTTGGCGCCGCCAATACGGGCGAACATCGGGACGCCGGCCGGGCCTGGCTCGCCGTCGACCTCGAATTCTCCGTGAAAGATATACGGAAATGATGGAGGGCCGCCGGGCGGCAACTGGCTGCCGCCTTGGGTCTGACCGCCCGCCGCGTCGGACCCGCAGGTCTCCGAAGGATGATGCGCCTCACCGCCACCACCGCACGCGGCCGCAACGGCAAGGATGATCGCCGCTGCGAATATCGCAACCGCTCCCTGAGTTGGAAGAATCGACCGGTTCAAGGCATCAAATACCAGGGTGGCTGAAGCGCCAGTTCGTCGCCTGCTCATACGCGTATGCGATCCGAAGGATCGTTGCGTCGCCGAACTGCGGGCCCAACACCTGCAATCCGACCGGCATGTTTCCCGAAAATCCGGCGGGAACGGAAATCCCAGGCAGGCCGGCTATGTTCGCCGGAACTGTGCACACATCGCTCAGGTACATCGACAACGGATCATCGACACGCGAACCCATGGGAAACGCGACAGTAGGCGACGTGGGGGTCAGCAACGCGTCGAATTTATTGAATGCTTCTCGGAACTCGCGGAGTATAAGAGTACGCACCTGCTGCGCCTTCTTATAGTACGCATCGTAGTAGCCCGCTGAAAGGGCATACGCGCCCAGCAAAATACGGCGTTTCACCTCCGCACCGAACCCCCGTCCCCTTGTTCGGTCCATTACTTCCCGCGAGTTGCTGGCGTCGCTCTCCGAATACCCATACTTGAATCCGTCGTACCGGGCCAGGTTGGCCGAGGCTTCCGAGGGAGCGATGATGTAGTACACCGCCAGGGCGTAGTCGGTGAGCGGTAACGAAGTTTCCTCCACGTGGGCGCCCAGCGCTTCGAGTTCGCTGGCCGCAGACTCGAACGCATTCCGCACTCCAGGCTCGATCCCGTCTACCAGGTATTCCCGCGGGAGTCCCAGCCGCAAGCCATTCACACCCGGTTCAAGGTCCTTGGCGTAACCATCGACCGGGCTCTTCACGGAAGTCGAATCGCGCACGTCGGGGCCGGGCGATCACGTCAAGGACATCGGCGCAGTCGCGCACCTCTCTGGCGATCGGGCCGATCTGGTCAAGTGAACTTGCAAAAGCTATCAACCCGTAGCGGCTGACGAGGCCGTACGTGGGCTTCATTCCCACCACCCCGCATAGTGCGGCGGGCTGCCGTATGCTCCCACCGGTGTCCGATCCCAGGGCCGCAAAACACATCGAAGCAGCCACTGCGGCGGCCGCGCCGCCGCTGCTTCCGCCAGGGACTCTGCCTGTATCCCAGGGGTTGTGTACCGGGGAGAACGCGGAATTCTCATTCGACGACCCCATCGCGAACTCGTCGAGGTTGCCCTTTCCCACCATCACTGCGCCATCCGCCTGCAACAGTTCCACCACGGTCGCGTTGTAGGGCGGGACATAACCCTCCAGCATGCGCGATCCGGCAGTCGTGGCCACTCCGGCCGTCGATATATTGTCCTTGATCATCACAGGGATGCCTGTCAACGGTCCCGGACCGGCCCCAATGCCTCGAAGCCGCGTGTCGGCATCTCGGGCCTGGCTCAGCGCCAGATCGGGCGTGACCTGCAAATACGCACTCACCTGCGGATCGATCTCGTCGATCCGGTCGAGGACCATCTGCGTGAGGACAAGCAGCCGAAATCTGTCGTCCGGCCAGCATCTCCCGCGCCTTGTGAGCCGACATGAAAATGGGAGAGATTCTCGTCTCGCCGCGCATCGCCACGTTGGCTGTCCCTACTCTAGAACCGGCTTTACGCGAAGAAATTCGCCGTCGTGGTCTGGCGCGTTGGCCACCGTCTCATCGCGCATGAAGGATCTGCCCTGTTGATCGGGGCGGGTAACGGAGTGAATGTTTGCCCAGTGGCCCGTCTGCTCCACGCCATCCGTCGGAACCTCGGCCAATGACCGAAATCGGTCCAGGATGTCGGAAAGTTGGGACCGCATGTCATCCACTTCCGCGTCGGAAAGTTCGAGACGAGCGAGGGATGCTATTTGTCGGACATCAGCCGCGGAAAGGGCTTCCAATTGGGCTCCCACAGTAAACGGCGATTTTGACACGCCGTAGTGACTGGCCAGACGGCCCGGCGGCCAGGTCATCACAGAGATGCGCCTGGTCAACGGGCCGATACGCGGCGTCAAGTATATGGCCCGCGGCCGGGCCCGGCCAGATTGACACCGCAAATCCGGGATCCTTAGAATCCACCACAGGCCGCCTCGGCCCTTTAAACTATGCGGGCCGCCTGATCACTCCTGAGGCGCACGGCCATCTTCCACACGCACCCGCCAACTCCAAGCAATCGCGAACGCGCCAGCGACGTTCGGGCGGAATTGGCACCCCAAAATTCGGGCACGGCCCTGCAAGTGGATCTCTTTACGTTGTCTATTTGCGCGCGCGCTGCGGATGCGCGCAGGCGGAGCGCAGCGGCGGGGCAATACCCACTGGTTAGAGTACGCGGCGGCGCAGCCTGAAACCCAGAGCAAGTCTATTTTCGCGGCGGCCGCAGCCATGACGAAATACATCTTCGTGACCGGTGGTGTCGTGAGCGGCCTCGGCAAGGGCATCATCGTCGCGTCTATAGGTCGGATGCTAAAAAGCAGGGACATCAGTGTCTCATTGCTCAAATTGGACCCGTACCTGAACGTCGACCCCGGCACGATGTCCCCGTATCAACATGGCGAGGTGTTCGTTACCGCAGACGGCGGGGAGACGGACCTGGACCTGGGCCACTATGAACGATTCGTCGACGTCAATCTCACCAATCTTTCGAACGTCACCGCCGGCCAGATCTACAGCGATGTCATCTACAGAGAACGCCAGGGCGCCTACCTCGGCGGCACCGTGCAGGCCGTCCCCCACCGGAACCCACTCATACAGAGCGGATCGTCTGCTGGCAACGAGACCGGGGCCGAGGTCATCGTTGTAGAGGTCGGCGGCACCGTGGGCGACATCGAAGGCCAGCCGTTCCTCGAGGCCATCCGTCAGATGCGAAACGAGGTCGGCAGGTCAACCACCTGCTACGTCCACGTGACCCTGTTGCCGTACCTGGGAGCGACCGGCGAACTAAAGACCAAACCCACACAGCACAGCGTTCAGACGTTGCGCGGCATGGGGATACAGCCCGATGTCATCGTCTGCAGGGCCGACTACCCCGTGAGACGCCCCGGTCCGCGACAAAATATCCCTTCACTGCGATGTTCCCGTGGGCAACGTGATCGGCCTGCCCACCCTCGACAATGTTTATGAATCGCCGCTCGTGCTAGAAGATGAAGGGCTTGGCCGAATCCTCGAAGACTCCATCGACCTGCCGTCAATCGAACCCGACATGAAACTGTGGCAGAACGTAGTCGACCTGGCCAAGGGGCCGGGGCAGGAGCTCGAGATAGTCGTGGTCGGCAAATACGTCGATCTGCACGACTCCTATATATCCGTGCGGAGGCCCTCTGCATACGCAGGCCTTATCACGGCGGGAACCGGAACGGAACATCGTCGTCCATTGGGTGGCGGCAGAGCAGGTGGAGGACGAAGGTCCCGACAAGCTCCTGGCCTCGGCCTCCGGAATAGTTGTGCCAGGCGGATTCGGCGATCGAGGGGTGGAAGGCTATGATCGAAACGGCCCGGTACGCCCGAACGAACCAGGTACCGTACCTGGGATTGTGCCTCGGAATGCAGGTCATGGTGATCGAGTACGCCGCGGAGAACTCGGGCTCAAAGGGGCGAACTCGCAGGAATTCGATCCCCATACGCCGGATCCCGTGATCGCCTACCTCCCCGGACAAGAAAACCTGCTCGCCACCGGCGGAACAATGCGGCTGGGTGGCAACCCTTGCCGGGCTGCGGAAGCTTTTTCCCCCCGGGCTTGCGAGCGAGCGTACGTACGGGGGCAGGTCTTGTGAAGGGCGTTCACCGTCATCGATAAAGAATAAAACTAGTACGACTACAAAACCGGTTTGAAGCGGCCGGGCTCAAGGCCAGCGGAGTTAGCCCCGACGGATCGCTCGTTAAGTTGCGGAGGTGTCCGGCCAATCCATTTATGCTGGGCTCCCAGGGGGCCAGCCAGGAAGGGGGCCTCGCGCCCCGATAGGCCGCATCCCCTGTTCAGGGAATTCATTGGCGCAGCGACAAACGTACTAAGGGAGGGCGGACAAACACTCCTCCTGCGTTGAAAGAGGGAATAAAGAGGACGCCGAAGAGAGTCGCGAGGGGGCGACCCCCAGGTCTAGCAGCAAAATCCCGCTGCTGATATACTCAACGCGTCGCAACGCCCGTTGCGGCGCCCAGCAGGGGACAGGCGCCAGGCCATCCCAGTCCAGCCGACTGACCCCGCTTCCCGATTCTCTTTATCTCCCGCCGGAGACAGACGTATCTCCGACACACGCGGAATGCCCATTAGCAATTGAGGCCCGCCGGTCGCACCGGCTGCCGCCAAGACGGGTCAACCCAATAACCCGGACCCATTCCAGACTCTCATACCAGACACGTATCAAGGTCCCTGATTCCCAAAGGCCGGCAATCGCCGCCAAACTCTCCGGATACGCACGCGACCGGTGTCAATTGAACCGTGCAGTTCGGAGTGTTGTGCGCTAAGACAAGCCAAACGGAATGACGCTACACAAAGGCCAAGACAAGAAGCACAGAATTCACTTCGACGAGTCGAACCACTCTGTGGTACGACTGCCTTCCGACCCAAATCAGGGACGCAAGGCAAATTCAGGAGGAACCCTAACTGGATACGCCTACCCGCACCCATGCACGCCCGACAGGCAGGAGCAGGAGACGCCGTGAGGCGCAGAAGGCCCAGCGCCCCCAAAGGCAACCGGCTAAACGGACTGGAGCAGAGCAGTCACCTACCGACTACGAACCGAACTTGCTGAGCCCAACGGCAGTCGGGTTGGGCAACTCGGCGCAAAGACGATGGACGAACTGCGGGCCATCGCTCTTGAAGCCAATCTGAAGAGCGGATTCCCCGCAAGGCGCTCCGACTCGTACGTCGTCCTCGACTGTCTCGCCAGTCTGTCACGAGAGCGATGCGACCAACTCCTCAGGCGCGCTGCCCGTACTCGACGTCCTGAACGACGGATACGGTTTCCTGCGCACACCCGGCCGCACAAACGGGCATGAAGGACACTCGGTTCCCAATCCAGATGCAACAGTATTTAGGGCGTCTAGGCAGGTGACATTGATCGCCGTCAGGTAAGTGGCCCCAAGAACGAGCGCTACTACAACCTGATGCGAGTCGAAGTCGTTAACGGATACGACCCCGTATCGGCGCGCAAGCGTGTGCGGTTCGACCGTCTCACGTCCATTTACCACAACAATCAACTCACCCTCGCCACCATCGGACGATAAG